CTCAGGTCATCTTGCCACCCTGGCTGATGTAGAGGAGGATGGAGTCGCCCTAGTGGAGAGACGACTTGTGGGCGGAGGAGAGGGGATGAGAGTGATGACAGCGGTATGGACAAGTTATTGAAGAAAAACACCAACAATAGCATCTCAAGTTCAATCAATCCCCAGCCTGGCGCAGCTGGATCTTCGTAAAACGATCATGCTGTAGACCAACCCGCTTGAGAGGGAGGATGATGGGACTGCTCCTAGGCAACACCTCGAAGCGAGAACCCAAGATGCGGTCTGCTTGAGGTACTACTCCTTGAGCCTCTGCTCGCAGCCGCGTTTTGCTCACTGCCACATCTATGCCTGCATACTCCGTGGAAATGTGCCTCAACTGAACACTGAAGAAGTCAGGAATCTGTAGCCTCTCCACACTCTGCGACTGGAAGGAGTCTAGGTCATACCAGTCAAAGAGCTCCAGCTCGATGGGGCACTGCCGCTCTTGTACTGGGAAGATCTCCAAGGGGCGCCAGCGCACCCGATCCACATCCACCAACCCCATGGCATTGAAGAGGTTCACGGCAATCTCGATGCGATCATTCACGCAAACGGGCGTGATGTTTTGAGTCGCTGCCACGCGAGTCTCGTCGCCGTGAAAGCGGCAAATGTCTTTGTGGATCCAAAACGATCTGGAGGTTCCCCTGCTGAAGGTATCAAACTTGAATGAGCACTCAAAAGGATCTTGCCCGTCGTTGCCTTTGCTTTGATCGTCATCATCAGCGAGTTGACCACTCTTGTATGCGTATCCATATGACACCTTTGTGCAATGGTTCACGTGATGACTGGTCACTCTGGCAATCAAAATTCGGTCGATCCTGATGCCAGCCTCTGCCACATGCACTGGAGACCAATCTGTGCGTGCATATTCTAAGTGGAGTGACTGTCCATAGAACTGCTTGAAGCCCTTGTCAATCTTTGCAAACACTTGATCCAAAGTCTTGTAGTAGACAACGAACCACAGTGGACAAACTTCAAAGCAGCGGATCAAAGCACCACCAAACAGGAAAGAAATCACCTGGGGCAGCAAGCTCGCCTCCATGAAGATCTGGGAATTCTCGCCACCATGGCAAATTTCTGGATTCCGAATGGCAGCTCTATGAAGCAGCTCGGCCACTCTGCTTCTGCTGTTGGTCTCGCGGGTGTTGGTCAAATCTTCCACGACGTACCTGTGCTGCATGGATTCATAGTCCTTGCGTCGAAGACAAAGCTCCTCCAGTTTGGTCT